AAAAAAAGGGGGGGGGGATTGATGCTATATTCCTCAACCATAGGTAGTCTAATGTATACTATGGTATGCTCAAGATCATAGTACATAACACACGTAAATGGTGTTTTCTTTATAAAAAAAATTGTAATTCATGCAAACATTGTAAGGGTGTGAAGTGGATTCTTAGATATCTAAGTCGTACTTTCATAATGAGTTTGTTCTTTTAATAGTCATAGTGTTATCCACTTAAGAAAAAATCCAAGTTTTTATTCAACGTCAAAACATACCGATGTGTTATAGCATTAAGAAGAGTTGTTGAGAGTGTTTGTAGTTAGGGGATCTAGCATGGGTTTATAATGGAGTTGGGCTACTTCCCCCATTGCCAATTGGTTTAGGGGTGGAATCTCTACTTCTTTCATAGTATCAGAGTAAGGCTTCACATATTAGGCTCAATGGCCATACGTGCTCCTACGTCACCCAATATATGTTGTCCATGTGTTAGGCTTGAAAGTTCGTCAAATGTGCGGGGGCATGTTGAAAGCGTTTGTAGTTAAGGGACCTAGGCTGAATTTATAAGGAGTTGGGCTACTCCCCTCATTGACAATTGATTTTAGGATGGAACCTCAACTTCCTTCAAGAGTTGATCATTATAATTTCAAAAAACATGCTTGCCTTAACCTTTCCTCTTTTTTTTTTGGCTTTCTCCTCCCATCTATAAACTTGCTTACACATATTACCTTGAACTCTATTAGGTCTCATTCTTAAATCTGAAGCAATATGATTAAAGTTTCAATTGTTTCCTGAGTTGTGTTGTGACTAATTTGAAGTATAATGCTTGTCAGACTGGCCAGCATGCAGGATCCTTCCGTAGTTCCTTTCCACTCCAAAGATTATGTCTCCATCAATTTCTGTCTGACCGCAGTCAAAGAGTGCAATTTGACTTTAGCCACCGGCACTTGACAATTTTTTTGTCCCACAATCCAAAAGATTGCAATGCAAACACTTGCCAATCGATCTTTTGCTATTTAATTCATTTGAGTCAAAAGTAAAATAATGTCATTTGTAAGTATTTATATAAGTCCAACCCATTGGATATATGCGTTGCAGCTGTTTTCCTCATTACTCAATTATAACCTCGTTAATTAAATTATTTTAATCTAATCCTAGGAGGTTAAGTCCTTAACATAATAATGACCAAAACATTGGTCAATCAATTTGGTCCCTTCTCCCTTTCCAATGAAACGGGATGTGGATGCAGCTTATGAATCCAAATTTATGTTTGAAAACTTCAATCTTTAATTAATTTTCATGTGTTTATTTTTATTTTTTATGTATAGTTAATTACCATGTTTTTGGTAAAGCCAAAGTTGTCGGTGTTTGGCATTTGTTCTTTCATTCAGTGAACCAAGATGATGACCAGGAATTGACTTATAAACCATCTCTTGAAGGCTGATCGAATTCCGTCCCTTCAAGGCTGATCGAAGTCAGTTCCTCGAGTGCATAGTTAAATGTTCTTAATCACTTGAGTTATAAAATTCAATTTTTTTTAATTATATTCAGTGATGGAATTTAGATGAAGGTAAAACAATTCGATTGGCATGGTTATCTAAAATCTTGATGTCAAAAATTCACCAACAGTCAAACCATGATCAAACGGGTGGAGCTGCTTTCTTACCTACTTAGAGTGAGACGTCACCGAAATTACCCTCCTATAGCAATTGACCTACCCACATGTTATTGTAGGCTTTATTTTTTGGGGGTAATGGAAACAAAAGAATTGTAGGCTTTTAGCTTAATTCAGAGAAATTTTCTATGCTTTGTAGAGTATAGATAAAGGCGTCATGAATTGTTGCTATAATGAGGCTTCTTACACTAAGATTTTTATTATTATTTTTAAAATACATGTTATGGTCTAAATTATTCTAAATTAATTTATTAGAAAGAGATTGAACTTGGGTGTAAATGGGACAGACTGGCCTAACCACGCTATATTAAGATTATTAAAGATTCTTATGAATTTAATCATTACCACTTGACAACTGTCAAATGTGGCTTTGACCTAAATAGTTGGTCAATTAGATAATCCACCTCAAATGTAGTAGTTGTGTAAACTAAACTTCTCGCCCCATAGTTTGAGCAGTTTTCCACTTTAGGTCCTATAATTTTAAATATTTTTTTCAACAATTAAGAATGGTTGATGATCAAATTATGATTTCCGTCATTTTTTATTTTTTGATTGCAAAGACACATGTTGACCAAAAAAAATAAAAAGACACATGTTGCTCGCATATAATTATAGTTAGTGAAATATGGGGAAAAAAAAAAAAAAAAAAAGACATGGATATAGTATTTGAATTTTTTTTTCAAATACAGTGAAAATTTCAGCCATTATATAACATTAGCTTCTCCACACGCGCTTTCGTGCCTGTGAGAGGTTTTTAAAAAAAAAATATATATATTAGAATTAAAAATAATAATGGGTAGTTGTGTTCCATAAAAATAGGATCCATTATCTGATTTTTGCTTTAATTTTAATTTTTTTTAAATATAAAAAGGTGTGAATTTATCATATTATTCTCATTTAATTAATAATATCAATTCTTAATGTTTGCATTAACGATGGCATTTTCTGGTATTTTGAATGTTTCATAATTCTTTGCCTTTTGCTTTATATATATAGATAGATTTATCACTTGAAAAAACCTTAAGGAAAGAAACTTATGACGCCGCTCAGCCTCCCGCCCCCTACCCTTACCCCTTCCCCTTCCCAGTCCTTCCCAGTTCCCCTTCCCAGTCCTTCCCCTCTGCTCTCCCGTCTTTTTTTTTTTGGTTTTGTGGTGTGAAAGCAACCTTTGTGAAACGTTGTCCTCGTGATAGTTGATTGCTATGTTTTGGCCCACGTACACAACCACCACAAGCATTTGGCTAAAGTTGTCAGCCTTTGATATGGGTTTGGTGCAAGGTGTGGACATTGTTGTGTTGCATCGGGTTTGGGTTTAGCCAATATGGCGCTATGGATCTCTTCGGGATGTCGAGAATATGTGGAGATGTGGCACTGCTTCTTAGTTTGTTTTTATCTAATAATTGTCAAAAACTCTTTAATAGTTTGTTGTGTTTTGTATCTCTTTGTCAGGTTTTTATTTCTTTTTAGCTTTAAGTTTTTGGTACGGATCTATGTCTTATGCCAATACGTTTGGTTAGTGGAGAAGATTTACCCACATTCGGGGATTTTAGTAATTTAGCTTTATGTGCATTTGGTCGGTAGAGAAGATTTACCCACATTCGGGGATTTTAGTAATTTAGCTTTATGTGCATTTGGTCGGTAGAGAAGATTTACCCACATTCAGTACCTTAGTTGCTTGAACTTTGTACTTTTTCCCATCAATAATCAATATTACTTACTCTAAATATATTTAAAAATATTGGTTTTAATTAAAATTAATTTTTTATTATTTACATTTAATAATATGTGAAAAATAAATACGTACGTGTATATTATGTATATTGTATATTTGATTTTAAGAAATGTACACTACAAGGAAAATCCCTTTTATTGACGAAACAAGGATGTAACTATAATTACTGTGTCTTTGAGACGTGTACATACCTACGTTAAGAATATTATATGCGAATTTACTAACTATGCATATAATCGTATTCATGAACAATTATGTGACATACATACAAGGAAGAAGGTTCCCAAAAAAAAAGTCTAAAGACATTCATAATGATCCTACTCTACCCACTCATGTCCCTACCTAACCCCACCTACATCATTTAAGCCCTATAATTCATCTTTTTATCTCCCATACTTTAATATGTTTATTTCACCCAAGTTTTTCATAATAAAATATTTGATTTCTCCTTTGCAAACTGAAATCACATCATATATGTGCTCTCTGTCCTAACAGTAAGTTCATATAAAAATTGAAATTGAAACTGCAGATCGCGGCTTTGCTTTGATCAGGCTTTGATAGAGAATCAAAGTTGCTTTAAGTCTACGACAGCAGTAGACATAAGCCAATAAGAATGAAACTTTTGATCAAATCTGAAGAAATAACATTGTTACACGAAATAACATTGTTGCACGAAATAATCATGGGTTTCGATTTTGGTGAGAGAGACGTGATAGGGTTTATGGGAAATAGCGAAGCAAAAAAAGGGGAGAGATGATAGTGATGAGTGAACTGTTTGACCTTGGTACATTAAAAGGGTCTTTTAGACATAACGGGGTGGAAAGAAATGATAATTAGGTCTTAAAATTTGGTAAACGGTGAGAATAGCAATACTCTTTTCTTGGAGTCAAACAGAACTCCAAAAAATCAACATGTATGTAAAGTATATATATACACGTAGCGGAGATTATATATAGACATGTATACATCATTATCACGGCATGCATTAATCTCACAAAGGTTTAGAAGAGATTGATGACGACGTTGATTATTGAAAGTTATTATATATAACTGTATAACGTGGCTTTCTTTATCAATATATCATTATTGAAGCTTGATCCAGCTGTTTTACTCTAAAGAAAGACTCTCTAATCTACCTGAAATTAGCACACGTATGGGTTTCATTTGGATATAATGCCATTGAGTTGGTACCCAATAAAAAATGTACACTTTGTGGTTGGGAGGTTTCCGTGTTGGTCACTAAAGAAGTCACTAAATGGACCTCTCTATTAAACACGTGGATAAATTATATTATGCGGTTGTATTCCAGTATCACTTTATATTTATTGAGAAAATCAACTTTAAAAAATCTCCTGGTTGATCTCATAGTCGCCATGCTGAGCTTTCTATGACAAAGGATCAGTGGGGTCCAAATCTTATGCCACCTGGGTTCAAACCGCGTCCTCAACAGGAACAAAATCCTCAAGTTTCTTTATCCATTAATTTCTTAGGTTCTCTGCATCAATCCCCCCCAATTTTGGCATAAAATAATCCCCAGTCTTTTGATCATGAACTTCCATTCCCCAATTTTAAATTTTAATTTCTGATTAAATCTTTTTAGGGTTCAACCAATTAGAGAAGAGAAATATGTTAATTTGCAGGCATGCACAAACTCATATTCATGTCTTTTGCACTTGGGCAACTACTTGGAAGCTCACACTTCTTTCAGGTTAAGTGACCAAATTCCAGTCAAAATCATTGCATTCACATCTATAAATACATCTGGATCACACAATCTTTCACCAATGTCTTTTATTGCTTCAAAGTTCAAACAAAACAAAAAATATTTCTCCAATTAAGTTTTGTGCATGCATGGGAGAACCCAATTCTAGCAATGCCTATGGAGCTGCCTCTTCCTCCTATAGAGGAGTTCGAAAGAGAAAATGGGGCAAATGGGTGTCCGAAATTCGTGAGCCCGGGACCAAAACCCGAATCTGGCTAGGCAGCTTCGAGACCCCGGAGATGGCAGCAGCCGCCTATGATGTTGCTGCATTACATTTCCGTGGACGGGAGGCGAGACTCAACTTCCCCGAACTGGTGAACAGCCTGCCTCGCCCCGCGAGCTCAAATGCGGAGGACATTCGCATGGCAGCACATGAAGCAGCCTTGAGGTTGAGAAGTAGCCCCGCTGCTGAAGCTCATGAGGCTGGGAGCTCCAGCTCGAACGTGGGGCCCGTCACGGTGAGGCTGTCGCCGAGTCAAATTCAGGCCATTAACGAGTCACCCTTGGACTCGCCCAAGATGTGGATGCAAATGTCTGAGTCCATGATGTTCTCTGGTGGCCTTGAGGATCAGTGGGAGGATATTCAAAATGATTCTCTCTGGGATCCTTAGGTAACGTTTACAAGATACAAATGACAAATGATAGACAATACTTTTTAAAAAAAATTAATTATAATATTACAATTATTTTGATTATTATAATTATGTGGGACGTAGTTTGACCTATACAAATAAGTCTTCCACGGTTTCATTATTTTGTTTGTTTTTAAAATAAAAATAAAAATATATAGTACTACTGAATTGACCTAAAAAAAATCTAAGTACTAGTGTCGTAGTAGGTGTTATTGATTTTGTGTCGTGTAAGGACCACAAACTCTTTCGCTACTTTTTACAACAGCTTTTTAAGAGTGTTGTGTGATTTAATTTTTTTTTTCCTCCATTGTTTATATATTTGATGTAATGGATAATTTGTCATTCAGACTAATGAATTAATAATAAGAGTGTACGTACGATCTTACTTTCCATTGATTCTTGTATTTATAATATGGTTCGTGTGATGTGTTGTTAATCTAATCAGAATTTTCGCCTTTTCTTTACGAAAGAATCCCATATTTGTGTTTTTTTATTTATAAATATTGGTTATGTAATTCATTGTCCCTTTTCTTTATGATGATGGGTTCTATATTTTATTTATTTTGTAAACCCAGATTTGTGTTTTTTTATTTATAAATATTGGTTATGTAATTCATTGTCCCTTTTCTTTATGATGATGGGTTCTATATTTTATTTATTTTTTCTATCAAAGATGATGGGTTCTGTTTGCTTGTTCAGAAAATTTAGTAAATGAAATAAGCAATAGTAAAAAGTTTCTAAGTTGCAGTTCGTATTGTAGTTTTCTTCTCTGTGTGTTCATGACCCAATCTCTTGTTTTTTCTTTTCTTTTTATTATTTTTTTATAAATAAATTTTTTTATTGAAGTCCCAATCTCGGTGAATGTATTGGTTATATAATTTTTTGTATATGAATATTGGTTATGTAATTTGATGCATTTTTAATTAATTAATTAATTATTAAAAATTTATGATTCCAACCAGAAAAACAATTAATTTTTTATGATGTTAAATAATCTAATAAATAGTAAATTAATTTTGAAAAAAAAAATGAAGTCCAATGTTATCCAGTGTGGCCTTGTACCAAACAATGGATCCAGTCTAGTGCTCTACCAAACAACTCAATAGGACTTGAAGTCTAGCCCAATCCAAGCCAGTCCAGTCTAACATTTCAAGCCTAATCCTAACCAGTCTAGTCTAGCCTACCAAACGGGGTCTTAAGGGATGCCAATGAAAGATTTTCATTTTAGTATTTATAATGCCGGAAAACAGTAATTGGGAGTAGGGTTAGGTATTTCAACCGGTGAACCGGTGAACCGAACCGAACCGAACAAAAAAACCGATTTGTTGCAACTTGTGTGTGTCTGGCTTTTTGAAACATATTTTGGAGTAGATTTGGTGAGGTAAACACATATAAGCGGCAATTGAGGCCAAGATGCCATACAGTTTATTACTATCCCATATATACATGCCCTTCAATCTGCAATTTACACTTGTGAAATAACATGAAAAATGAAGGTGGAGCCTGACTTTGTTAATAGTAGTAATAGCCAAGAATCCAAGATAATGTGACCGAACAAAATGACCAGCACACCCTTGCATGAGGAAGACAATATTGATCAGGTGTGGCCCTGGCATGGTGCAATGGTGCCACCGCACAGGGCCACTATTTTTCAGGAAGAATATATTGATCAGCACACCCAAATCAAAGCCAACTGGCCTTCTCCAACTGTACGAAGGAATAAGACATATTCTTCATTGTACAGTGGATAAAACCTCTGTACGCGGATGCCACACACCACGATTTCTTCTATTCTTTCATACATTCACAGTAATGAAAAAGATTGCTCCTCCCCTTCACATATACCTCTTCTCATCTCAAACATTCCCAACCTCCCTTAAACACTCACCCCATCTCTACAACCTCACCAAAATGTCATTGGTAGCAAATGAGTGTATTGAATCAAGTACAAAGCTAATGGGCTCCCTCGGAGGATTCAAAGCTCGATTAGGTACCAAAAGATTTCATCAACTACAAGGTTTAAATATTTCTCAAACCTTCAGTCCTGTAGCGAAGCCCACCACACCATTCACCTCATTCTACCACTAGTTTGTTCAATTTGATTGGTTTGTGACTTAACTTAATGAGTCTACAGTTTTTTTTTTTTTTTTTTTTGTCAAAGGAATGAACATAATAATGTGTCCTTTCTACATGGCACATTACATGAAAAAGTTTCTTTTATAATTTCTTGCAAATTGTTCCTCTGTGATGCTGGCAAAAATGAAATAATAAAGTTCAAAAAAAAGTAAATGATAAGTAACCAGTCAATATTATGTTCCACTCTCTGACCTTCTGTATGGCAAAAGGGTCCCAGGTGATCCTTGAGCAAGGAATTTGAATTCCCTTTCAGATTAATCTTCTTCCTTGTTCAGGTTCCAAACTTCCAAGACCCTTTTAATTTTATTTTTCCTTTCTTTCATTTTCTTTTTGTTGGTGTTTCCCACTTTTGGACTGAGGTGGCCGAGGGAATGAACTTTTGGTAGTTCTTCTCTTGAGTTGCATAGGAGTGCCACCACAAAGCCATCAAATGGCTTGGATGGAAAGGATATGATGGATATGTTGAGCTTGTGACTTCTAATCAAGTTATTGATCGGCTAAGCAAGGAACCTCGTCTTTTCCTAGGTTCTTTCACTTTCTCGGGCTCGACTCGAGAATGGTTAGGCTTTGTATGGACATGTTTTTGTGATTTTTAGTAAGAATAGTGCAATTAAATTAAAACGTGATTTAAACTAATAGCAATAATTAAAGTGCAAGAAAAATAGATCAAAGTGACAAATAAACACAAAATAAAGCAAGAACAAAACAAGAATGATAAACTAAATTAAACTTAATGAAAATTTGATAGCAATGGAAAGTAAAGCAACTGAAATAAACTTGAATTTAAAAGCAAGACCATGTAAATTGCGAGAGAGTAAACTTACACTAAGAAAAAGGAAGAACTTGTCTAGTCTACGTGCTTGAAAAGTAAAATCCTAAATGTAGGAAAAGAAAAGTGTGAGACGAAAAATAGGTTTGTGTGTCTTCTCCCTTCGTCCGACGATGTTTATATATAAGGCATCCACCAGCCCATGGGTTGGCCATTAAATGGCCCGAGATAAGCTCCTTTGAAATTCCTTCCTTTTGAAACCTCCTAAATCCATGGCATCACATTGATGAAGATCTTATGATTGCTTGATTCTCATTGCAAAACGGAATGCTTCTTTTCCGACCACTCCGTTGTAAATACTTCGTTTCTAACCACTGTGAGCCATCGATATTGATTAAATTTCTGTCGGAAATGGGATTTCAAAACGACTATGTGAATTTATTTCCGACCCATATATTGTCATAAATAGTAATTATTGTGGGAAAGTATTGATGATGATGAAGCCTTTGTTGGAAATGCGATGAAATTTTTTATTATTTAAAAAATTAATTAATTATTAGAAATTGTAATTTCAACATTTGTTATTTCTAATAATTAGTAATTATGGCATGTTTACTAATCCCTAAGGGGTTGTTTGGTACGACGGACTGGACTAAATTCTGGGATTGTCTTAGATTAGCTCGGATTGGACTAAGCTGGATTAAGTACTGACCTATGTTTGGTGCTGCGTCGGACTAAGAAGCTCGATTGTAAAAATAATGAAGACCTATGTTTGGTGTTGTGTCGGACTAAAAAATAATTAGTTTAATATTTAATTTTAATTAAGGATTTTGGACATAAAATAAAAAAAATTCTAATATTTTTTAAAGACTAAAAATATCTTATCTTTTTTTTAAATTATTTTTCTTTTTTCCTTGTTCTCTTTTTTCTTTCTTCTTCGTCGTGTCTTTTCTTCTTCCTTTTCTTTCCTGGCCCATTTCTTTTTTCCCTCTTCCTTCCTCTTTTCTTCTTCCCAGGCTGTTTCTTGTTTCTTTGTTTCTTTCTTCCTATTCGTTCCTTTCTCTTTCCTTCTTCCTTTCCTTCTTTTCACTCTCTCTTCATGCTGCCACAGATCCAATTGAATCAACCTCTCTCTCTCTG